AGTGAATACCAATGCAGAAACATTCTGGTGCCAAGGTGAAAGGGATCTTACGGTGTGTGTCTGCTATAGACCACCCTGCCAAGGGGTTGAGCTGGACCAGGATTTCTCAGTACAGCTTATGGAGGCAGTTGGGTCTAGGGATGTCATTGTCATGGGGACCTAAACTACCCAGATATCTGCTGGGAGGAGCAGTCAGCCAGGTCTGACCATTCGCGTAGGTTCCTAGCTGAAATACAGGACCTCCACCTTATCCAGGAGATGCACAGCCCCACTAAGGGAGATGCCTTGCTGGACCTGGTTTTGGCCACTGGGGATGACCTGGTGAGGGGACTGCAGTGAGGGGACCTGGGTGACAGTGATAATCATCTGCTGGAATTCACCATCCAGCGCAGGGTGTTGAGGGCTCACACCAAGACTAAAGCCCCTGACTTCAGAAGGGCCAACTTCAACGAACTTAGGAGATTAGTGGGGGAGGCACTAAGGGCCCAAAAGGTAGAGGATATGGGAATCCACGAGAGATGGTCGTACCTTAAGGGGACGATCCTCCAGGCTCAGAGTGTGACAGTCCCCAAGAGAAAGAAGGGGGGTAAGAGTGCTCTGAAACCCCCATGGCTTAGCAAAGGCATTCGAGAATGCCTGAGGGCCAAAAGGGAGGTGTACACCCAGTGGAAGAGAAGGGCCATCACCAAGGAGGAATACTCCTCCTTGGCCTGTGAGTGTAGGAAGGCCATTAGGAAGGCCAAGGTAGGGTGGAGCTCAGGCTAGCGACCAGGATTAAGGACAACAAAAAGTCCTTCTTCAAATACATTGGGAGTAAGAAGAGGGCACCGGGTAATGTAGGGCCCCTGTTAGACTCAAATGGTAATCTTGTGGCTACGCCAGACGAGAAAGCCGAAATCTTCAACAAGTTCTTTGCCTCTGTTTTCTTGGACAGGGACCAGGACAGCTGTCCCACCACAGGTAGGGGCAATCTTGGGGATAGCACTATCAGGCCTTGGGTCTGCGTAGATGTAGTTAAGGATCTTCTGGAAGGGCTGGATGTTTTTAAATCTGCAGGACCTGATGCCCTCCACCCACAGGTGTTGAGAGAGCTGGCGGGGGTCATTGCTGCGCCCTTGGCCCAGCTGTACGAGCGATCGTGGTCCATGGGCCAGGTGCCCAGAGACTGGAAACTCGCTAATGTGGTCCCCATTTATAAGAAAGGGAGAAAGGAGGACCCAGGAAACTATAGGCCCATAAGCCTCACATCGGTCTTGGGGAAAATCCTTGAAAAAATTATCAAGGATCACATGTGTGAGGGGCCAGTGGGGGAGATCATGCCCAGGGGAAATCAACATGGGTTCATCAAAGGCAGGTCCTGCCAGACCAACCTGATGGCCTTTTATGACCAGGTAACTAAATCCCTGGATGATGGTGTCACCATGGACATAGTCTTTCTGGACTTTAAGAAGGCCTTTGACACTGTCTCTCACCCCATTTTCATTAATAAATTGA